TATATACACATACATATATACATACATACACAACCATAATTTCTTTATCTCATTCATCTGTCAATGGATAAATTGTTTTCATATCTTGGCTATTGCAAATAATACTGCTGTGATCATGGGAGAGCAGATATCTGAAGTAAGGTGTGCTGATTTCTTTTCTTTCTTTTCTTTTTCTTTTGGTACCAGGGATTGAACTCAGGACCTTGCAGACAGGCGCAGTGCCATGGAGCTAAATCTCCGGCCCTCTGATTTCATTTCTTTTGTTATATATCCACAAGAGGGATGTAGGTCATATGGTAGTTTTATTTTCAAAATTCTGAGGAAACTCCGAGTATTTTCCATAATGGCTAGACCATTTACATTCCTGCCAATGGTATACAAGTGTTTTCATCTCCACATCTTTGCCAACACTTACTATTTTTGTGGTTTTGATAACAGTCATTCTAACTAGTTGCATTTTCCTGATGGTTAAATGATATTGAGCCTTTTTAAAAAAAAAATATCTGTTGGTCTTTTGTATGTCCTCTTTGGAAAAATATCTGTTGAGGTCCTTTTTCCATTTTTTAATTAAGCTGTTCATTTTTTTTCTTGTTGTATGAGTTCCTTAAATACTTTAGATATTAACCTTTTATTACATAATGTAGTTCCCAAATATTTTTTTCTAATCCATAGGCTGCCTTTTCATGTTGCGTATTGTTTTCTTTGCCATGCAGAAGCTTTTAAATTTAGTATAGTCCCACTTGCTTATTTTACTTTTCCTGCCTGTGCTTTTGATGTGCTTTTTGCTTTGTAATCTTCTTTAAAAATACAGTTTTATAAGTTTGAAGGAACTTTGTTATTACTGTTGTAATGATATTCCCTTAAAAAAGAAAACTCAGGCCCGGGATTTAGCTCAGTGGTTCCAGTGCCTGCCTCGCAAGTGCAAGGGCCAGAGTACATGCTATCAATATATTTAAGTCCTCCACATATTCATTATCATATAAGACTGCTACAGACATAGGAGGATTTACTTGTCGTTTAATTTTTTTCATAACCTCTATTTACAGCAATTGTATGTGTGATAGAATGTAGGCTACTAAATAGCATTTAAAACAATGCAGGATGAGAGAGATGCTTTCAGTGCTTGACTAAAGTAAGTTTTTAAGAAGTTCTAAAAGTTTAAAGAATATCCAGACTTCTTATTTTTAGCATCATTTCTGGTGAATTTTCCTTCCTATGTTTACATAGTGATGGCAGAACCATCTGGAAATGATAGAAATAGCTGTTTGTTAGGAGGGAAAGGAGAAGGCAGGAGAGTTACACCCTATACATTGCTTTAGCTTCTCTAATATAATATCATGTTGACTATAAATTGTGGAAGTCATATGAAATATTTGCCTGTACACTTGAAATATGAAGTTCACAGGCCTTGATTTGCTATTTCTTCCATCTACCTTCCTAGCAAATGCTTAAATGTTTAATATAGTGTTGAAGGAAAGATTTTTTTCTTTAATATCTTTACATTTCAAATCCTCCTGGTTTAAGCAAGCAAATGTTTCTAGTCAGTCAATATTTCCTGAAAAAGGATTCTAGCATCCTTTTGAAACCCTTAAACTAAAATGTATTTATCAGAGTTCTTTCTCTCACTCTCTCTCTCTCTCTCCCCCTCTCTCCCTCCCTCCCTCTCCCTTCCTCCCTCTCTCTCCCTCTTTCTTTCTTCTTCTTCTTTTTTTTTTTTTTTTTTTTTTGGTACTGGGGATTGAACTGAGGACCTTGTGCTTGCTTGCAAGGCAGGTGGCAGCACCACTGAGCTAAAACCCTGTATCAGAGCTCTTTCTAACCTCCTATATGTGAGAAGCTTGGCAGCTTAGAGGTAACATGGTAAAGTGAAAAAAGAACAAAACTAGGGAGGGCCAGTGCCACTGCCTGCCTCACAAGTGCAAGGTCCCAACCTCAATCTCCGTGAATAGCTGTTTGATAAATTTTTTCTGGGTTTCTTCTTCAGTTTAATACTGTGAGGGTTATCCTTGATGGCTTAGAAAATGTCCCAATAAGTCAGTCTAAGATTCTAGGTTTAGCTTCTTTATAGTGCCCACTAAACTGTTGTGTCTAGCCATTTTGTTCAGCTCAGATTGCATTTGGGAGGTCAGTATATTTATTTGTGAACTGCTGAAAAAAAATGCCGAAAGATAATTTTGAAAGTATTAGGGTTACTTTATCTACAAATGTCTAAATTATTTTCATAATTTACTGCCCCTTTGCCACCACTCTGAAAAAAGTGACAGTGTATTTAGAGAACCTTTGAACAATATTGATGTCACATGTTGGATGCCAGAAGTCATTGGTTGATTTTTCTTTCCAGGCAGCACAGTGAGTTTCATCTCCTAAAAGTAGCCAACTTTGAGTTGCCACCAACTAGCAAGTTGAGCTTATTTGGATGCCGGGAGGAACTTTTGTTTACCTCATTCTCTATTAGCTGTAGGCTGACTTTCCTAAGAATAACTAGGAAATACTAGTAGTTCAACTCACAATATGCTCTGCTGAAGACTCTCAGTCGATCCTTCTCTTTATAGTCGGAACTTCCTTCTCATTGTTAGAAGCAGAAGTAACTTAAAAGAATGAGGCTAAATATATATTCTTTTAAGTCTTTTGACTTATTTCTAGGATCCTACTTAGGCAATTGATTGTAAAGACAATTTACACTTCAGCCTGAAAATCTATGAGGTTACGCTTTGCGTTTATAGATACCATCAATAATGTCTACAAGAGAGTGGTTGTTTTTCAATCAGAATTACTGGTAGATACTACTGAAACTACTGCTGAAAATATTTCTAGGCAGAAGCATATTCTTCTACCGCAACATTAATTATATATCCTACTACAGCCTCCTGTGAAGAAGGATGCTATTGCCAGCTAGTGCCCTAAGATAGCTATTGTGGAATAATCAGTAATGGAGTAGATACTGAAAGTAATCTAGTACGGGGCTCTATCCTCACTCTCTTATCTCTTAGTTTTGGCCCATGTAGAGGAAGTGACTTAGGATTACACATGGCTTGCTAGTGGCACAGCTAAATCTTACCTTTCTCAAGAGGTAATTTTGAACACAGATTGAAGATAGTTACAAACCGGAGTCTGGTAACTCCCTCTCTTTTCTATTCTGTCAGTGCCAACCCCAGAACATAGGCCCTGCTTATCTTTTAGCCATCTCAGTGTCACAGTAAAAACATGGAGGTTGGGAATAGTGAAAATGGGGTGAGGACGACAGAGGTGTCACTGAGGTGGTCAGTATTCTTGAGAATGCAGTCAGGAGTGCTGCTGGCCAAGGGTGGCTTCCCCTGCAGGAACTGTCCCCTTGGTTTAAGAAGGAACTGGTGCTCTGTGTGCTTGTAAGATAAGGATAGGAAACAGACAGGCCTGAGCCTCTGGAAGCTCTTGTGACCTGGCACTACAGGAGACCGTCTGCTGGCTCATCTTGTGAGAGTCACAAGATGCTCTAGGGATAGTTTTATGAAGCTGTTCTTTCTTCTTATGTCAGAGTTCACACTGAAGAGACACTTGCCTTTGTGTATTGGGTGCCTATAACTGGGCAGCCCTGACCCTTTTGGGGGGCTGTTCCTGCATCACTTCTGGCCTCCTTAAAAACTAATTTAAAACACTGGAACCCACCTATCCAAGTAATTTGAAAAGTTTTGAAGATAGTGGAAAAACCCTAGAAAGTATTTGGAGGAAGAATAATTATAACTATGCCACAGAAAAAAAGACTGTTTTGTATCATGCCGATCCCCTCATTAAAAAAAAAAAAAAATCTCCTCACATTGCTAGATACTCTTTAGTGACCAAAGAAATTGTGGTTTTTGAGTTGCTCACTATTTCTAGAAACTTCATAAAGTTAATCCAGAAGTGACAGGGTGGAGACCAAGAAAGAAAGCAGGCTACTTTATGGTGCTTTTAGTAAAAGGTAAAGTGTTTGTCTCAGGCTCCAGGCGGCCGGACAGCTACCTCAAAGCTAGCTCCACACTAGCTGTGAGGCTGGCTTGGGTGATGCAGGCATCACCACATCAGGTAGCTGGAGGACAGTGTGGAGGATGTGATTGATTTGCATGGCTTGCTGAGGCATAGTTCCCGTCTCATCCTTGCTGCTCTCCTTTCTCCTCTTTCATTCAAACTGACAGGTATTTCCTGAACTCTGATATACATGAAAACCACTGTTAAGTACCAGCCTCCTCTTTCTAACTGGTTCAGTCTTCCTATTGACAGTCACCTGAATTTAAATCTTCATTCAGTGGCCTTCACTCTTGATGAGCAGTTCATTTTGTCATTTTGCTGTTTTTCTTTATACTTTAGAAGATATTTGTTGTTGTTCATTGGATTAAAAATTTATGACCCTGTGTTTGGTTTCTGGCTTAAAAAAAAAAAGCAAGACTGGGCGTGGTGGCTCACACCTGTAATCCCAGCACTCCGGAGGCTGAGGCAGGAGGATTGCTGTGAGTTCGAGACCAGCCTGGGCTACACAGTGAGTTCCAGGTCAGTCTTGACTACATAGTGAGACCCTGTCTCAAAAAAAAAAAACAAAAAACCAACAACAGCACGCCACCCTGGAACATTTAGCACCTTTTTCCCATTCCATACCCCAAGGAGTGGGAAAGCAGTTAAGTCATTAATACAGAATGGATTTATTTTTTATATCCATGCTATTATATAATGTTTTCCCACAGCATAGCATCCCCCTATTGAAATATTGGAGAGATTAAGATTAACATTTACTACCTCACAACTGGGAAGGGTGGCCTCGAAGAGCTTTAGGGGACTACAGAATCCATTGAGAGAATAAACTGGGTGTGTGGCTTCTGGTCATAACCCAGTACTAACTAGTGTGTGACTTCTCTTATCACCACCTTCTCCCTTATCAGGATGATACCTAAAGATATCAATAGTTTGGACTTTTTGTGGATGTGATATATAATTACTTACAGATATTTGAAGATTATACCAAGCAATAATATATTATCTTTTCCTCACAGAGTGAAGGCTGCACAGACTGAGTTAGGACAGCAAATCCTGGCAGATTTTGAAGAAGCATTTCCTTCCCAGGGTACCAAGGTATCGTTTTGCATTTTTTTCCTCCAGTCCTTAGATATTATTACCATCCTTGCCTAATTCATACTTACTATGTCTGCTATTCATCTATTATTCCAAAAGTATTTACTGGTTTCAGCCTATTTGCTGAACATTTAAGGTAATGAGAAAAATCCTTATTTTTAAATTATTATTATTTTTTACAGTAGTAGGGATCAAAGCATCCTCAGCCCTTTTTATTTTTATTTTTGAGTCAGGGTCTTGCTAAGTTGCCTAGATGGGACTCAAACTGATGTTCCTCCTGTCTCAGCTTCCCTTAGTGCTGGCATGTATCTCTGTGCCTGGCTCAGCCTTTTTTTTTAAATATCCCAAAGAAAAGATGAGAATTTGTTTTGGTTTAATTGAATGTATGTCAAACCTTGTATCTTTTTTTTTGTTTTTTGTACCAGGGATTGAACTCAGGACCTTGTGCTTGTGAGGTAGGCAACGGAACCACTGAGCTAAATCCCCGGCCCACAAACCTTATATCTTGTTTACCCTGTAAATTCCTTTTTTCTCAAGGCTATGTTTACAAAATAAATCTTCAAGCTGCTGTGTTTTTTTAGGATTATTACATAGCTTACTGGTTTTGGTTTGGTGAAAAGGCAGTTGGGGGCCAGAGATGTAGCCCATTGGTGCTGCCGCCCACCTCAAAAGGCAAGTGGAAGGAGTACCCAGGGCCTTCTGTAACTCTCAGAGCAACACTAAAGACTCACTCTGTTTTTGGCATTAAAGCCCATTAGCTCTTTTTTTTTTTTTTTTTTTTTTTTTTGGTACCGTGGATTGAACTTGGGTCCTTGGAACCACTGAGTTAAATCCCCAGCTCTAAAGCCCATTAGCTCTTACTGGTAGTGTAGCTGTTTGTGTTTGCAAATCTATAGGATTTCATTTGTGAGGTGTTGGCTACACTTCTCAGGACAAGCTTTCTTTCCCTTGGCCATCACTGTGATATATGACCACTGTCAGCTCCTTCCTTCACATTGCAACATATCGTGTGTGTGTGTGTGTGTGTGTGTGTGTGTGTGTGTGTGTGTGTGTGTGCGTGCGTGCACGCGCTGGGAATCAAACTCAGGACCTCGAGTTTTCCAGGCCAGTGCTGTACTGATAAGCTACATCCTCGGCCCAACATATATCTTAATATTGTGCATTGGGGAGCGCAGAACCTTCAGAAGTAAACCCCACCACCTCCACCACACCTTATTTGAGGTATTTCAAGAGAAAGACTTATCAGAGCAGCAGTGAACTGAAGTGTTTGGACCAGCAGCATTCCTTGTCCAGATGGATATATACATTCACTTACTAAGCCAATGAGCGTTTCCTGGATTTGCTCCATAATTCAATAACTGGAAATATCCTAATCATTTTCTTCTTTGTGTTCTATAAAAGAAACTTAGGAAGTAGGGCGGAGGTGGCTGCCCTAGCTTTGCTACATTACTTTCTGTAGGAAATCTGCTACTTCTTTTAATGTTTTCATATTTTGTGGCTGACCGCAAGCAATCAGATATTTATTTGTAAAGCACTTTGAAAATCTCAGCTTCTTTGGTCACCTGACTGATGTAACTCATATAGGGAGTGGATATTGAAAAGCTATTATTCCTTTGACCACACGGAGGAAAACAAAGGTCAGAGAAATAAACAGGGATTGCAAAGACGTTTGCTGATTGTGAGCACTGGACTCTTCTAGGCTAGTCTACTTTCCTGTCATCTATTGCCCCATCCCATTTTCAAGAAGTTTCGGACAGATATGAGTAAAGCCCATCTTTATAATATAATCATAGCCTACTTTATATCTTTTATTTCTTTAGTGATGGTAGGCATTCTAAGCATATCCTCTACCACTGAGTTACACCCCTACCAGTTGTATCTTTTTTCCCAGATTGTGCTGGGCAGATGAAATTAAAAAGATTTTCTTGAACAACTTGCCTCCCTTGACTCAGTGGCTTAGTGGTCTTTTTAAGGTTTTATTTTTTTCATTTTTAAAGATTACTGACTTTTGTTAGCAGCTTTGTGTTATGCCTATTTCACAATTAACAATTAAGATTTTTATTTTTAAATTACCCAAACTAACCTAGTAAAAAATTTTTTTTTTTTTGTAAATGGAAATATCTGAACCCATAGGTTTTGGCCTCTGTGACTTTTCTATCAGATTGAGCACTTTCGTACAGAAGCTAGAATTGAGTGGTGTGTTTAATAGGCAACATAACAGCCACTTACTATGGAGCCAGTCACATTTTAAAAATGTAGATTTTGAGCCGGGAGTGTAGCTTAGCAGGGCAGTGTTTGCCTGCCTGCCTAACACAAGGCCCTGAGTTCAATTCCCAGTACCCGCCCCCCCAAAAAAGAGTAAAAAATTAGGTCTCATGTAGTTTTGGTGATTCCTCTGAAATACTCAAAGTTATGATAAGGTGGATAGAATTGGACATTTATTATAAATAATAATTAACAGGGCTGGGGATTTAGCTCAGTGGTGCCGCCACCTGCCTTGCAAGCTCAAGGTCCCAAGTTCAATCCCCCGTACAAAAAAGCAAAACAAAACAAAACAAAAAAACCTTTAAATACAATGGTAATTATTGTTTGTAAATGGGGAGGGGAGGAGCTGGTGAAGGGAGGGCAGGGACAAGGGGAAGAAATGAGAACCAAGACCGGTCATGTAAAGGTACAAGATCTCAATAATGAATATAACTGTCTAAAATGTACCAATAAACTCAATAAGGAAAAAAAAATTAACAATTTGACAGAATCTTACCAATCATCTAATTTGAGTCCATTATTTTTCTGATGAGAGTGAGTAACTTCTCCAAAGAAATGTGGCTATTTTAGCCAAGGCAAGGGTAGATTGGAAGTATTCTTTGTGCTGTGGTACACAGTCAACCACATTCATTCAGTGAGTTACCATACACAAAAATTCAATTAGATTCAGTTGCCTTTGATAATGACAAAGACCTTCCATTGTTTTTTTTTCTTTTTATTGAGTTTATTGGTACATTCTAGGTATACAGTACAGTTACATTCATTACTGGGATCTTGTACCTTTACATGACAGGTCTTGGTTCTTATTAAGACCTTCCATTGTGATGTACTAATGCAGCAACCCCTACCTTTCATTGTTCTTTTCTAGTCAAGGGAGTAAAATCATAGTGTTTTACATTTGGCTATCTGGGTGGTTGACTATCAGTGAAACAAGTCTGGTGGCTTGAAACCTAGTTTTAGATTTTAAAGCTACCACACAAATACAACATTTAGGAACAGGAATTTCAGAGGTGGAAAGCAAGGAAAATGTGGAGTGACACTGGTGTCCTTCTTGTCTTTTTAGGCCACTTTAGAGTGTCTGACATCAGAGACTGCTGTCATTCTAACTTTTTAGGTCTCTTTCAGTTTGGGTATTGAGAAAGTAAAATGTCCTATGGTCATTGCTGGCACTGTTTTCCAGAATGTCTCATTGCTCATTCACAAGATAGTTTTTATGTTGGCCACTGCAAGGCATAGCATAATGATTCTTTTATCAAGGAAGAAATATCCATCCACAGTAGAGAGAATGAATGTCTAGGGAGTGGGAGTAATAATAATAAGAGAGAAACAAAAAGTAGCAGCTGTCAGAGGCTATGAGATTTAAAGATTGTTTCTGACTTTTGAACTGGTGCCTGTTGTTTGTTTTACTAGAGGCCAGGTGGACCCAGCAATGTCCTGCGAGATGCATGCCTGGTTGCTAATATTTTGGATCCCAGAATCAAGCAGGAGATTATCAAAAAGTTTATTAAACAGCATCTGTCAGAGTATCTAGTACTTTTTCAAGAAAACCAAGATGTAAGTATTGACCAGATGAGGTCAGATGTAACACTTCAATGTTACTGGAGAATAAATGCTGCCAAGTCTACTCACTTACACTTTACTAGTGCTACTGTCTGCCATTGTTGATCATTCAACCATGACTCCTACAGGCTAACTTTACAGTTCAGTAGTTCTTAACCATTTGAGGTCACTGACCCTTTGGAGAAATTAATGAAAGCTATAGATTTTCTACACAGAAAAATGCAGCTATGCATTAAACTTTGCATACAGTTTCAGGAAATTTACAGATCCTTGGCGCCCATCACAGACCTTAGGCTAAGAATCTTTGGATCAAGTAAATAAGATAGCATATGAAATGGTGAGAAATAGCAGAGATGGGCTTTTTCTTGGTTTTATGTTTTTGTTTCTTTCATTAAACTGTTAATACTACTTCTAAGCACTGGGGTGGATTTTTGTTCTTTATCTTCATGAGGTTGCCTGGCTGGACAAGATTGACAGACGCTATGCCTGGGTAAAACGCCAGCTTGTGGACTACGAGGAAAAATATGGCCGAATGTTTCCACGTGAATGGTACATGACTGAGAGGATTGCAGTAGAATTTTGCCATGTGACAAGGTAGATTCCAGCTCTTTACTGGTTCTGGTGTTGATTGAATTTTCAGAATTAATTGCTAGTCTCTGTGATTCTGTGTTGTCCTGTGGATTAGGCACCACTTCCAGACTCTGCCAAATGATTGGGACCATCCATCTACCAACATAGTCTCATCCCTTTTGGCTCTAGGACCTATTTGTTGGATGAGTTGCCTTAATACAGTGTTTATAGTCTCTGTATGGTTAATAATACTAACATCTGTGTGTTCTAAGCATTTTAACTCTTTTTTTGTTTGTTTGTTTTTGTTTGAGACAAGGTCTTGCTGTGTAATTCAGCCTGGCCTTGAACTTGAATTCACTGTGTAGCCCAGGCTGGCCTCAAACTCATTGGCTATCTTTGTACTTCAGCCTCCTGAGTGATAGGTTTATAAGAGTGCACCACCACACCCAACTCTAAGCATTTTAAAGACCTCTTCTCATTTATCCTCGCTATAGTATCCATGAGTTAGCCCAGGCCACATAGTTCCTTTTTGTTGAAGAATTATGTCCAGCAATGTATCCATGATCAAGGTAAAGGCAAAGCCAGCTATGGTGGCACAAGCCTGAAATCCCAGCACTTGGGAGACTGAGACAGGAGGATTGATGCAAGTGTGAGGTCAGCCTGGGCTACATAGTGAGTTTAAAGCTAGCCTGAGCTACATAGTGAGACCCTGTCACAAAAAGCAAAATACAAAACGAAACAAAGGTAAAGCCAAAGCAAACTTTTTTATTCTTTGTAGCAATAGCACAACAGTGGTGGTAACTGGCTTTTTATTAGTTATAATCCCTTCCAGTTGTACATAATTGCATTTGTCTGTTTTTGAGATAGGGTCTCGCTGTGTAGTTCAGGCCAGCCTTATAATTCACCATGTAGCCCACATTGATATCAAACTTACAGTGGTCCTACCACCATAGCCTCTCTAGTCTTGGGATTATAGGTGTGTACCTCCATGCTCAGCTTATAATTACATTGATTTTAGGTTAATAAGAGAAAAACAAGGCCCATTATCTACGTGTAACTCAATTACCTTAGTATCATATGTGGTATCCTCTCTCCTTTCCTCCCTCCCTTTTGCTGTACATTGAATTCAGAGCCTCCCACATGCTAGCCAAGTGAACTACATCCCCAGCCTGAGTCTTCTTTCTAAAAATCCTAGAAAGTTCTATCAAATTACACATTTTAAAAACATTGTGGGAAAAAATATTTTAAATGATATTGCCTTTATTTTTTAAAAATAGATTTTATGTTTTAGAGCAGTTTAGGTTAACATCAAAATTGGGCAAGCAGTACAAAGATTTCTCTATGTTCCCTGCCTGTATTCACACAAGCCTCCTCCAGTATCAACATCCTCTCCTAGAGTGATTCATTTGTTATAACTGGGGAACCTGCATTGACACATCATTTTCACCCAGAATTCATGTTTTACTGTGCAGTTTACTTTTGGTGTTATACTTTATATGTGTATATTGTTTTAAGAAATACATTTGCTACAAAAGATTTAAATATAGTATTTAATATAAATATAGTATTTAATAAAATAGATATAATGTTGGTTCAAGGTTAGTTGTGGTTGTCAGTTTCTAAATACTGACTAGCAAAGAAAGAATTCCTTGAAAAACTGTTTTTACTAGTTCTTTTTCTTTTGCCTAAAGTTCAGCAGACTTAAAGACCAAATGTGTGCAAAATGAATCCTAAAAGAGACTGGGAATACACTAACAAGTCTCTGTGAAAGTCAGTACCTGCTATTGTCTTGGCTAACAGCAGTGCTACTGGCAAGCTTTTATTGTTAGAATTTTGGCTAAAGTCCTACAGATACATCATTCTAAAGTAAACTCACAGGCCCTTTGTTTGATTTTGACATTTATTTGTGTGAAAAGATTATGATAGTTTAGTACTTAGTAAGAATTCACATGTCAGCCAGGCAGGGTGGTGCACAACTGTAATCCCAGCACTTGGGAGGCTGAAGCAGGAGGATCGCTGTGAGTTCAAGACTAGCCTGGGCTATATAGTGAGTTCCAGGTCAGTCTCAACTACATAGTGAGACCCTGTTTCAAAACAAACAAACAAACAAAAAAAAAGAATTCACATGTCAAGGAAACCCATTTTCCAGTCCCCCTTCTGCCTCTCTTAGACAGAAGCTATCTTCCTCTCGATAAATTTTTCCTACTCTTAAAA